GAGCGGCAGCAGGCAGGGCGAGGGTGACAATGAAGTTATTTCCCAGCTTAGAGGTACGTTGTTATGGCGTCTATTACTGTTCTGCTCGTTATTTCATCAATGCCTTAAGAAATGTTCGGCCGGGCGAAACAGAAACTGCTGCGGTTCGAAGTGATGGGTGTCGGCGGGGAAGGCGCGGATCGTCGGAAGTCGTCGGCTATCGGTGGAGGGGTCGCTCGACTTGGTGCCCCGGAACTCGGTTTGGCCCCTCTTCGCTTCTCAGGAAAGTCAAGTCTCGCGTTATCATGACTATGTGTTTTTTAGGTGTCACTCGCTCACGTTTCGAGTACTTTCGCCGCGAGCGCCACTTCAAAGTCGACGACGACGTGATGAGGACCAATAAGCTGATCATCCGCCTTGACAAGCTGATCACCGATACCCCAGAAGACCCGGCTAAACGAAAAGGTATCCTTCAAAGTACGTGGATCCTTTGCAGTCGCTACGATGCACGTGATTTTCGACTTCACTCGTTTGACCTCTAGCTGTCCTCTAAAACACCTACTGTCCGAATAGAGATGCACCAATGAAGCAAGCGTTGCTGTTTCGGTCATTGGGCCAAAGTCACACTCCCGCAGTGACATGTGAACAGTATTTGCGTTTGGAACTTTGCTGGTTTTGCCAGACAGCGGATTCCGTTGACACTTCCAAACTCAAGTGCGTTCACTTTAGTAGGATAAGATGATTTGTTGCCACTCAACGAAACAGTTTTTTCTAGGTTATTGTTTGTTTTCCTCGTCAGATCCATCATTAGATTTGTCATGGCGAAAATCCGCTGGTCTCATTTCCGTAAATTGGTGGCGATCTTCTGGTTATGACTTGTTTTTTGACTTGCGGATGTAAACAAGTCGTGCCGTAACTCATTTCCGCTAAAGTATTGAATAATACCGACGAGCATAAGAAATGAGCAATACAACTACCTCAGTAATGGCGATGTTCTTTTGGGTTCAGCGACGATTCAGCTTGGAACCAAATCGTGCCAACTGATAGTTAGGAGGCATAAGATTTGAAGGCTGTTCACACCCACTTTCTGCAGCATCCAGGTTTTTTCTTCGTACAGCAGCACCGGTAAGCAGAACACAGATTCGTGAGAGTTATATTGTGTTACGCTGTCTCAGGATGTTTGACGACCGAGGATGAGGGGCATAGGGTTCATGGCCAAGATGGCGAAGCGGAGTACCTCAGGTTTGCAGTGTCCTGACAATTTCTGGGAGTTCCAGATATAGCGGTTTTGTTTATAACATTCAGCCCTCCCACTGTCCACTTTTGTGATCTCGACGAACGCATTACTTCAGAACTTGTATACGTTCGTCTTCCGTCAAGTGATCCTCATGTGAACGTTATTCGAGGCATTCCTGGAAGCTCATTCGTGTGCTTGAAGGTTCCGTAAACAGTTTCAAGGATACTATTTGACTTCCAATGGTATGTAAAAGATGTGAGACGCTGAGGTCCCTTATAACTAGAAGGAGTTCCGATCGGTCCAAAGAATCAATGGCCAGCTTGAAGTTTTCGTGGGCCACTTGCAGAGTCTAGTTGTATATAGCTGCGCTGAAATGACTGCACTGAGGCTCGGATGAGGTGAGATTTTTTGTCCAACAGATTTTCAAGAGACTTTTGAAGAGGTGAGAAATTGCTGCGCCCATTCTTCCTTTCTAAGTCGTGGTTTATGTATTCAAGTTAGCTTTTGGCTGATTGACTGCTCTGCATGCAGCGGCTTAGATTCGCCGACGTTCTCAAATACAAAGGGCTGAAATGTGAAAGTAAGTGCATCAGCATCATGCAAGTGGAGAACAGGTCCCACAGACCGTTGAATCATTCGAGATGTTGTCTTGCCCACTACTGTTACGAATAACCTAAAAGATATGAAGAGTAATGAATATATCCTGCATGAAATTCGCATTCAACTCCTTCGTTCTTATGTGCTGCAGTGAAAAGTATGAATCTTCGCTTCGCTTCACGTTGCTATACAGAATGATGACTGTCTGAATAAGGTAGTATTACAAGTTTGTACTTTGTGAAGACTGACTCCATTTTGGATGGATCCATTCACCAAGTGGGGACGCAGTTAACCGTTGGACTGTCCTAAAATTGCAAAACCGCAAAAATGACAGAATACCGTTTCATCCAGTTACGTCTGTAGCGTCAAACTCGAGAATTTTATTTACTAGATACTTTCATTCTTCTACAAATAGATTTATTTGTGTTTTATTTGTTTCTTGTCGAAATTTTGTGCTTTTGATTGTACACTTGAACATCAGTTCTTGAACTACAAAGTTTGAAGTGCTTCAGAACTTACTGACAATAAAAGTTTTAGTATTTGAGAAGGAAGTGGTGCTTTGGATGAAAGATTCCGAAGCCAGCAGCTGTGGCTCTTGTGGCTGCCAGTTTTCGTTGCGGAAGAGAAGACATCATTGTCGACTGTGCGGATGTGTTATGTGCTCAAGTTGTTCGAAATTCATAACCTTCAATTTCGCTCGTAAGAATTCTACTCTTATTACTGCTATATGTTTTTTATATTTTTTAATTCGACAGTTAGGTATAATTATTTTAGGCATTTTATCCCTGAAAGGGATACATTGCTTTTGTCGGGCAGGTTTATATACACTGCAAATTTAGTGCAGTGCATATGCTATTTAATAAATCAGTCATCGTCTAGTGCTACCAATATATTACACAGCATTTGCATGATATATGTGATAACAATTATGTAGCAGATATCCTACCAACTTTATTGCATCGTTCGAAATTCTACGTTCTCTACGGCTGTGTAATGATGGATTGCTTGTGACATTTTAAATACGACACGCATTAGATACTGGTTGTAAGAGATACAGTAAATAGTATATTATAAATATCATTTATACCTTAAGTATGTCTTTGTTGCAGCCCGCCGAGCGGGTCCGTATCAAGGTGGATCCTTCCTGTCAACCGCATGAAAATTTTACTGCATACAGGGATGAATCAATTCGCTGCCTGACCGTACAAGTTTATTTTTCATTATGAATAAAAACAGGCGACACGACACAAGTCCGTGATAAAAGTCTATGCCACCAGGCCTCTTTAACGGCAGACAGGTTCTTTTATGACTGTTCTTCGATCACTACACTCACTTTGCGTTTCCCACCTGCGCTGTTTTCACGGGAACGTTTCCCACCTGATACTGTCATCGCCGGTACATGGGAACGTAATTTTTAGCAAGACCTGCGCGTACTCTCTTATTTAGTATATTATTTACCTTGCAGTTCGAGACTGTGCATAGTATGATATTC